ATATATATATAATATATATATATAATATATATATAATATATACATAATATATATATACATATATATACGTATATATATATACGTATAATATACATGCGTATATATATACCTGTCTCTTATACACATCTAGATGTGTCACAAGGGAGGGGTCAGGACCCATGATCCCCTCCTCCCAGATCCGCCAATGTGAATTGCGTAACTCGGTCGGGTACTGGATAAACATTCTCTTTCCCATCCTTCTCCTTCTTCCCTCCTTCTTTTTTTCCATTTCCGATCATACAAAGTTCTCCAGACATTATATATTTTTCGCCAAAAAGTGGGGGGGGGGGCGCCCCCCCCGGTTCCGCCGCCCATGGCCTATATCTTTAAAATATATTTTTATCTTTAAAATCTTTAGTTGCACGATTAATTGATTTGTAAAGCACAATTGGGCATGTTTGCTTAGCTCAGGACTCCTTGGACAAGATTTCGCTTTTATTGGAGGATCCAATTTTTATTTTTAATTATAATTAAGCTACCTTTGACTGATACTTCATGTAGCTTTCTGGAAATTTAGTTATATAATTTAACAGCAAAGTGCAACATTGCTTCTTTTTATAAATCATTGCTGCTTGAAATTCTTCCTTTTTTATTATTTTTTTTATTATCATCGTAATTAAAGCTGATTTAAGTACTACCTTAAGGTGTTCGGCCGAAGAAGTACCGAAATTTAGGCCTGTCTAGGCCAAGTACAGTTACGTATTACCGCGAAGTGGGGCGGGCGGTACATGCCTTTATTTACTAAGTGGATAGCGAAATTTTTCGATCGCCATGCGGAAGTTAAAATATAATCCCAAATCCTCCTCCTTTTTGGAATTTAAGGAAATTAATACATTTTTGTTTCTTTGTTGGATCGATTGCAGCAACCCCAAAATTATATAGCATTAATCATCTATAATAACTGCTAACTTCCTACCCTATCGCGTTGTTTTGTTTTGGTGACAACATGGCCGGTGTAAGTCACGTGATTGAAACCGAGTTGGCCAAACTCTCTCTATCTACGGCTCTGGTACCAATGATGCGACACTGCCACCAATCGATAGTGTTGCCTAAGATGACAGAAGATTGCTCGAGATGGCTTACACACACACACACACACACACACCACACACACACACACACACACCCACACACGCACACGCACACCCACCCACCCACCTACACAAACCTGTAACACAACTTTTTGATGGATGAATATGTAGTCGTGTCAAATCACATGACATAATAATATTATTGATTTGTTGATTTTTATGACTGGTGTAACACTTTTAACAATCTTATCAAGTTTAAATGATGTTGAACTTTTTGCTACAATGCTGAGTACACTTACGTTTCTAAGCCTTTCCTTATTCATAGTCTTAGATTGGGGCTGCTGTCAATCGTATGTGTGTCTATCGTTAGTACCAAAAAACGCCGCTCACACCCAGCAATAATATCAGGGTACAGTACAATTTAGCATAAGCCGTATACTTGACGAAACACTCTAAAATCACTGTCGACTCAAGAGTATAGTCAAAATTGTAATTCCATCTTATTATTTTAATTTTCTTTATTCGGCACATAAAAAATAGAAAAGTATACAGTAGAAATTCAAATTTAAAGCAAAAGTTAAGATTGAACTAAAATAGATACAACAGATGACCCGAATAACACACGCTTGAATTCAACTTGTTTCCAATAGGGTCCGTCCACATCACTATTTACTTTCTCTGTATGACCCTTCTTGTCTGATGTAGTTCATAGCTTAATCATCAAGATATGTAGAATTGTTGATGAATCTCATACACATACCAGAGGGCCAACGGACAGGCAAGGGACAGGCCAAACTCTGGGTCACATACGGCCCCGGCTACACAGGAGTATAAATGGGTACCTGGTCAGATGGGAATGATTTGGAATGGAGTTGAATTTAAGAGAGCTTAATTGCATTGCAGAAAATTGTCCTAAGATAGTGGACGTGGTAGACAATTGTGCATGTTTAATCCTGTATCAAAATGACTAGAAAAAAGCGCTTTTTCTCGAGTCGAAAGTCGCTATATATTATAGATACATTTTTAAAATAAACTTCTAATAGAAGAAAATGGAGACAGTTTTTTTAAAAAAAGGGGAAAAGTTTTTTTTTTTTTTTTTTTTTTCTGTTTTTACTTGGAATTTTTAAAAACAATTACATGCTAATACAAGGGAGAAAAAGAATAATGCAAGTACAGCCATTACCATTGCCACAATAAATATAGGAATGGCATTTAATACATTGGTTATTGTAACACCAGTCTTACACGAATTGAAGACATTGAAAATTATGTTCGGATTCCAGTAGCTAAGAATTAGTTTAAGTTTTGTCTTTATTTTTTTTAAATTTTATTTTTAATTTTAATGTGTTGTGCTTAGTTAAGATGTTATTTGTTTGCTCCTCGGAAGAATAGTGTTTATCGTTGACAGGCCACCCTACTGAAATAAAATGGAGATAAATAAGTAAATAAATGTATTGGATTAGAACTGAAACATCTAAACAGAATTATAAATTCGTTTTAATACGAGTGTACTAGAACAACTGCAATTCTTTCAAATCTGGCTCTAAATTTGTATGTGTGTGTGTGTGTGTATGTAAAAAATGATCAGGGATCCACGTGTGTTCATATATGAATAATATAGAAAGAAAACAGGAAACGAAGTAGACTTTTAGAACACTATTTTACTTAATATTTTTATAAAAATTCTACATATATATATATATATATATACATATATATATATATATATAAATGTATTGGATTAGAACTGAAACATCTAAACAGAATTATAAATTCGTTTTAAGACGGGTGTACTAGAACAACTGCAATTCTTTCAAATCTGGCTCTAAATTTGTATGTGTGTGTGTGTGTGTATGTAAAAAATGATCAGGGATCCACGTGTGTTCATATATGAATAATATAGAAAGAAAACAGGAAACGAAGTAGACTTTTAGAACACTATTTTACTTAATATTTTTATAAAAATTCTACATATATATATATATATATATACATATATATATATATATATAAATGTATTGGATTAGAACTGAAACATCTAAACAGAATTATAAATTCGTTTTAAGACGGGTGTACTAGAACAACTGCAATTCTTTCAAATCTGGCTCTAAATTTCAATTGAAATATTTTACTAAACGTTCGTAGGCCTATTATTTTTTGTGCATCTAAAGAAATTCTAAATCCATTACAATAGGCCTATATCTGTCTCTTATACACATCTAGATGTGTATAAGAGACAGCATGTAAGAGGCGGTTTATTGCTACTGGTAGAATAAATTAAAATAAATAAATGAATAAATTAGGCAGTAGAGATAGAAGCTACGATAAGCAAATAACAAGGTTTTTGAAAGGTAAGTCGTTTTTATTATGCTATCAACAAAGCATTAGTAACAACCAAGTACAAATAATACTAATGCTATTATTAATAATTATTATTACTATTAGTAATGTTGTATTGAGTAATAATTATTGTTATTATAACCATTATACTTTGCAAAAACCCTAAATATTCTGTATATAATAATAATAATAATAATAATAATAATAATAATAATAATAATAATAATAATAATAATAATAATAATAATCAGTAGATCAATCCGAATGCGCACTCAAAATATCTTAATCACAGCAATGAGGGTGTAGATGTTCATATTTTGCCATGTGGGTTGATTAACATAAGCTCAAAACAAATAGGCATATAAAGGCCTAATGACGCCAAAAAACCACTTTATGGAGAAGGGGGAGTATGACATAAATCTTCCTAATATTCGGAGTAACGTTATAAGTATGAAAGAAATAGGCTTTATCATAAATCGCATCCTAACCATGCTCTTCCTTCGGTCGTACGTAGGCCTACAAATTTGAATACGGCAACCCTGAATTTATTCATTTTATCAAGTAAGAGGTTTAAAGGAATATCTAGATTATACTCAATCACATTTGCATATTATATTGCCGTTGGTCCAAGGCTACATTAAAAATTCGAAGGGCATCCTGCGGTCACGTTTGATGAAATTGCAATTACTTATAAACACTTAAATAAAATCGGGTTTGTGTGATACATCATGGCCCAAAAAATAGTCCGTCAATCGTGTATAATTAAAGGACGTATTTCATTGGTTGATTAATATACATTTTGGGTAAATTTGTTAACTAATCCTGGGCAATTTATCTTTATATTTGAAAGCTCCTGTCAAATATATTGTCATTTCGTATTCCTGTTATTCTAATACTATATTGTACATGTAATGCGTTCATCAATTAGATTAACATTATCTAGGCCCATGTAAAATCATGCCAAGCAGAATATAATTATTTGAAATTTGTTTTATTGCTGCTCATTAATTAGAAATGATTACTGTATCTCTATAGAACAATTGTTCTTTATACCTCCTTGGTTTGATATTGATTAGCACTTCTTTGCATGCATCAATTCAAGATAGGTATGTGATAATATATGATATGCTAGCGTGTAGTTTTTATTATCATAAGAAGTTGTCTTCGTGACAGTTTCTTTCTTGACAACTATAAGAGCGTTGCATTCTCTTACACAACAGCGTTCTGGTGCGAGTTCGAAACGTCAATCAGGTGACCACACTTTTTTTTTGGCAGACCTATTCATTTCGGGCTGCCATATTTGGAAGTTTTCATTACCTAGTCAAAAATGTCCTTAATGTTTGTGTTACGATCTTGGAACAATCAGGATAGATGAAGCATGACTTCTCACTTGAACTGATTATTCTTTCGATAATTTGTGTAAATCCAATTCACTGTCGAAAACCTTTAACGAAAAAAAATACAATAGAATTAGAAAAAATGATCGTAGCATACTTGATAATACGATTGATTAATTTAATGAGACTATAATGTTTGTGTTTGTCTGTATAAAAGCAATTTCACTCAGTTAATCCTCTGGTAACAATCAAATCCGGTTTTACTTTATATGAGGAAAAAAAGCAAGCAGGCTAGTATACTTCCCTTCCATTATACGAACATGTCTAAATGATATAGTACACACCTTTGAGATAATTAGGCTTAAGTGGGCACGAATACCGACATTAAGTATTTCACACCTTTAATCGCGTTAGATTGGTTGCCAACCAT